TTTGATATCAGGAAGACATTTTTTACAGTGAGGGTGGCAAGGCACTGGCACAGAGAGGTGGTGGCTGCCCCATCTCTGAAAATATTCAAGGCCAGCTTGGACTGGGCTCTAAGAGACCTGACCTAGTTCCAGATGTCCCCGGTCACCACAGAGGAGCTGAACTAAATGGCCTTGGAAAGGTCCCTTCCAACCCAATCCATTCGGTGGTTCTGTGACCCAGGGGTACCCCTCTGCTTTGTTTATGCCCTTTGTCCTTGTGCCTCCGCAGTGTTAACCCAGCGGGTGAATCCTCCCGTCCATTGAGCCCTGCCCCATCCCAGTGCCCGCTCCGCGGCCAAGCCGCTGTGCGGTGCTTCCAAAAACCAGCCCCGCACCGTAAGCCGCGTTTGCCATCACGGTTACTGCCTTTTCGCTGCCTTCTGCAGGCGGCAGGCCGCTGCCGCTCAATTCCCGTCACAGCCTCCCTGGGAGGGGGCTGTCCCTAAGGGAAAAGCGCTGGAGCAGCCGCCGGCCCCGTCCCGCCTCGCTGTGCCGCCCTCGGGGCCGGCGGCCGCTGCCCGGGTGTCCGCTCGGTGCCCGGGGGTGCCCCCCGGCCCCCTGCCCGTGGCGGCCCCGGCCCGGCGGCCCCGGGCGGCGTTACCTCCTCAGCGCCGGCCTCGGCCCCGACACTTCCGCCCCGGCGCGGCGCCGCTCGGCACCCGCTGCAGGCGGGGAAACGGGAAGGCGAAAGTAATCCCAACAGCCCCCTGGAATGGCCGGAGGCACTTCCCTTTAATGCCTTCAGTTTGTCCAGGCCCGCCCGAGCCGGCCCTGGGGCCGCGCGGGGCCGCGCTGCTGCGGGGTAGCCCAGGCCGGGGCATGTCGGAGCTTGCCGACACCTTGACGCTGCAGGTGTCCCCGCCGCAAGGCCGCACACCCAGCTCGGTGCCTTGGTGTCTCGTGTAGGCGAGGATCTGTCAGAAACGCTCCGGTCAGGTGGCTCCAGAGCTGCCCAAGGGATGGATGTGTCTCTCCGGACCATTAGGGATGGAGGCGAGTGGCTCGAAGCCCCTGCGTGGCTTGTGGCTGACACACTCGAGGCTGGTGCGTCCCGGCTGGCACTTGTCAGCTCTTCCCTGTAGTGCTGTTAGTGAGAGTTTGGATAGGTAGAGAGAATGAAGCAGCATTTCCCAAGTCCACGAGAGGTTCTGTGCCAATTAAAGCATGATTTAGGTCTCCATTGTTCAACCTCAGGTAGCAGCCTCCTGCCCAGGCTGCATCTGCCCTGCACAGGTGCCCTGTGAGCTGAAAGGTAACAGCTGCTCCCTTGTTTGTCCCCAGCTGGTGAAAAGCTGGCATGGGCCTGGGGCCAGATTTTGGGCTCACATGCAAGCTGCAGTCACTCTGGCTTGGCAGTGGTTTGTGCAAACTGGGGGACTGAACTGCAAAAAAACGCAGGAAACAATTAAAACACTAAAAATACCTATATGTCTGATGCAATTTTACAACAGCAGTATTTAAACAATATAAACTTAATTGGTTTGCTAAGGGAAGGATGTGCTTCAAATAGATCTGTAAAGGGGTTAATCTGGGCTGGAACTCCTGGGTGCTCTGGGTCACAGGGTCAGATCTAGGGGGACAGGCAGTACCCAGAGCCCCCTTCAGGGTCAGCAGGTCTGATGGTGCCAGTGCTTCTGGAAACAAAGCATTTACTTGCTAACAGTTTAAGCAAGTGAGTTCATACATTTAAAGTCTCTCTGATGGGGCTAAATGAACCTGGACATCTCAACATTTCACTACAAAAGCCAAACGTGAAGCAGTGCTGGCTCCCAGAACCAGGTGGGAACTACAGACCCACCCATGTCCTGGAAATGTTTTCTCCTTGAAGCCAATCTGCCTGCTGTATATTGTGGGGTTAAAAAAATAATGGGTAGCTGAGCCCCAAGTTTCTCCTCTGCTGACCCTTGCTGAGTTTGTGTCTTCTGGGACCATCCCATGGGGCAAAATCAAGTGCTTGATGAGCACTTGGAGTTTCATCTTGTTGTTCCCCACTTGGGAAGTAAAGATGGCAGTGAGGGGAGAGGCTGTGGCTCAGTGAGGCTCAGCTGGCACAGAACTGGGGTGTCAGGGTTCAGTGGCAAGTCTGCCTGGGGGCTGGGGCTGGGATAGGACAGGTTGCCCTGAGCTGGCAGCAGTCAGAAGGCTAAAAGCACGCTCTTGCTGTCAGTGAGATTCACAACCCTTCTTAATGGCTCCAAAGGCTTTAAGGAAATCATAAAACAAAAGGAGCTGAACACATGAGATCTCATTTTGCCTTAGCACTTTGGCAGATGTGTGTTAGAGACAGTATTAAAAGCAGCTAAAAGCAGAAAAGCAATGTCCGAGCTGTCAAGGTGATTGTCAGCAAAAGATGCTGAGTTCCCAGGAAGGAAGCAGGACGGTGTCACTTGGCTGCTGGGTGGGAAGGGGGTGTCACTGATATGATGGCAGATAAGATAGCAGAGCTGCTGTGCTGCTGCCACCTCACACTCCCAAGTAAGGAGTCACGCTTCAAAGCAGCACATTCTAGAAAAACATGCAGTCGTGTCCCCCCTGCGTTACGCTTTTTGCGTTGCTGCTCCCTTCTTGCTTCGTGGCTTTCACCTCCAACCCTTCTTTGAGGCTCTCTTGGTGCACAGGTTTTCATTTAAATGAAACATGCACTGCTCAGGGAGTGCTGTGGCTCGGGGACCTGGGGCTTCCACAGCCCCAGAGAGGACATGCCATGAAATTCAGAGTGAGACTGTGAGACTTGGCCCACACTCCAGTGCTGGCCTGGGAAGGCGAATGTTTGCTTTTAAAAATCTCCTGCTTGGTTATGAGAGGGCTGAAAAAACATGTCATGGTGGTAGTTTAGTTTGTGCAGAAATCTGGAAGAGAGGTGCAACACATTTTGGAAGAAGGCAAATGGAAAAGTTAGGTAATGATCTGATGCTCTAAACCTTCTTCCCAGACACTTACTTTTCTGCATTGTAGCTCACAGGAAAGGTTGATTAAAATATACTTATCCCTTATTGTGTCAGACATTGTAAGTGCAGTTTCTGCAAACTGGAGTCAAAGTCAAAAAAGGTTTTTTTCCAAACTGCAACATCACAGGCAAGGACCACTGTCATTAAGCTGCTGGTTTCTACTCTAGGCCTTCTGTTGCACTATCAGTAAAAAAATGTATATGTGAGCCTGTTTTCTGTGCAGAGCTTCTGCTTGCAAAGAGGTTTTCCCCCCACAGTTTGAGAAATCTGTCTCAGCTTTTTGAATACCAGTGTAGCAATACCAGAAAATTCCCTTGTATTTTTATTACTCAGAGTAGCAAAACCTCACTGTAGGAAAAAAGACCATTTTTTCCCAAAAAAGCTTTGATCTGACATTTTTAACTCTTGATATCACTCAGCTTCTTAGGATTGATTGAAAAAAACTATGAAACAACTGATCAAGAGATTTTCATAATTTTTAAAGTTTAAATTCAAAATACGGTGAAATTTCAAGTTTGATTTTTTTTTTTACCTCCTCTGTTATCCAGTTTGATTTGTTAAATCCTAATGTGTATCTCTGACCCTTTTTTGATGCTCTTGTTTTATTTTTCTCAACAGGGACTCGAGAATTAATTGCAGTTTTGGAAGTCTTCCCATGTTTAAACCTGACTGAATTGGCAAAATCTCTGCTCCAGTACCAGAACCGTGGCATTACATCCCAGAAGAAGTCCTTGTTTGAATAGTGTATTATCTTTGAGATGGACACAGAGTCTTCCAGGCATGCAGACAAGGGGCTGCAGCTGTTCTTCCAGCTCTGTGTGGCACTTCACAGGGGTCAGGTGAGAGGAGTGGGGTCCTCTGTCCAAGCAGGAATAACCTGATCCTTGTTTCCAGTGTGTGTCAAACATCTGCTCCACTCTGCTGTGGCACTGCTGACCTTGTGCCTTCTATGTGTGATGATGTTACCTGGCATGACCAGCACCTGCTTATGTAAAATTTGTCTTTCTTGCTGGGTTTTGTCAGTGCCTAATGGTGATTTGGGTTTTGGGGGGAATACCACATTCTTAGTACACTGTTCTAAGTTGCTCTTTGAAAATGGCAAGAAAAAATTAATGCATTGTTATCCTTATCATGGCACTTACTTATCTTGTCTCTTCTCCCCTCCTGACTCTTTCAGTGTTTGGTCTTAAAGGACTCTGTAGGCATTAGGTGAGAAGTCTGTTCCATTTTTTAGCAAGAATGTCGAGTTTTGCAAGTTTTTGCTAAGGACCTCAGGAAAATTTAATGTTGATTTTATATATTTTTTTTTTTTTATTTAAAGAGCAGTTTCTGAGTTGAAATTACCCTGGCATTAAGGCACACATGTATTTAGAGCTATTTAAAGCTTTTATATTAATGATAATACCATCTTGTCTAATAGATTCTCTATGTAGTTTTTTTAAATATACTCTTTTCTCATGCAAGAGCTAAATAATTTATGTTGACACATAACATAGCAGCTAAACCTGCTTACAATTTTGACTTTTCAAAGTCTTGCTGAAGATGCACAGCCCTGAGTCTGCCCAGCTCTCGTTCGTCTATGCCAGCCAAAGTTTAGCACAAGAAAATTCCAATCTAACAACTCGGGTGCCTTCAGAAACCTGTGATTTCTGTGCCTGGGTGGCCCCCAGCCTCTGGGCAGGTGGGTTTGCTCTGGTGCCTTGCCCAGCTCCCAGCATAAGGTGGGCAGCACGTGTTCCCTTTGCATGACGCTGCGCATTTATTCACAGCTCTGCGGGATCGGCTGCAGTGCACTTTCATTCTGTGTATTGTTCTCTGGGGCTGGTGATGCCATCCCATTGTGCTGAGTTTTTAAGAGTGTGAGCAGCACTGCTGATGTGACTCCCTGGCTGCCTACTTTCCACTGGCCTGGGATAAAATTGGGTGGCTCATTCTCTGTGGGACGCAGGCGCGTGCAGGGGAGCAGGCGCGCCCAGGGCAATGGGGTCAGTTTAGCTGGGACACTGCAAAGCTATGCAGGATTCACCCAGCTCTCTGGTGATGGATGGATACTCCAGCAATGTCCCAGCCTTCCTAACAAAACTCTGGACGCTGGTGGAAGACCCTGAAACCAACCATCTCATCTGCTGGAGCTCTGTAAGTGTAACAGGTGTTGGGTGTCACTAATGCCTGCAACAACAGGGAAAGCCAGATGTGAGACCCGAGAGCTGCATGGCACAGGAGCTGCCCTCTGCTTGGCAGGTGCTGCCCAGTTACTGGCAGAGTGCAAAAAACAGGATTTAAGTACAGACACTTTTGGATATACTTGGTATTATTTATCTGAAATAGCATAGCTTTTCTGTTTCGGAGGAGCAACTGTTTTGTGGGTGTTTTAATTATAATATTTGCACATTTCACTTTGAAACATTCTAAAAAGTGTCTAATGTTCTAATTCTAAGAATTCCGCATACTTTGAGAGAAATATTTTTCACCTTGCTTGAATCTGCAGCTCCCTAACATTTTCTAGGAAATGTGCAAAGCCCTTAAAAAGTTTCATTGCTGTTTGGTATTATCTCACGTGTGTTTCTTAGCAGCCTCTCACAAATGTCTAGGTGGAAGGCAGCAGATAAACAGCACTCAGTACTCAGACTCAAACCTATAATTTAAACAGATCTCAGACTGGCACCCTAAATCATTTTGGAAGAGCTTTACTTGATTTTTCAATGAGTCTGTGTGATAGTCATGGTGATGTGGCTGTATATTGTCTGTACAGATTTATAGGTATAGATTGCTTTTCTTTGGCTTCTTATTTGTCACAGAGGCATTAGTATACTAAGTGCAATCACAGAAATAAAATTATTTATCCCCTTTATACAACACTTTGATACCACATTGTGCTTTTGACCTATGACTTGCTGCAAGTAATGTGATTTGTTTTCAGCAGAAGTTACTAGATAAGCTGTGTGCATAAACTTGTTCTCCAAAATCAAGAATCTATAACACAAGCAAATTTAAAGGGTGGTGGTAAAAAAGTCTAAAGCGGCCTTTCTTATATGTACTTTGTGTCCAGTAGAGTTTTCATTTAAAACCTGAGACAGGATTGGAGCTGCATTGATATCTGTGACCATGGTTGTTTGATGCTGGTATTACATGGCCATACCTCTGAGAACCACCAAGTTTTAAATAAGGATTTTAAAGCTAGAAATTATTTTCTAACCTGTGTAAATAGTGCCCTCTCTGTTATACTTAGAACTCTGTTATTTTTGACTGATATTTTGACATGTTCTACTTTCCTGCAAACTAACATTGTCTGCAACTGCATCCTTGATGGTTTTGGTAAGGCTTTTAGGTGTCTCATTTCCCCCTTGTTGCAGGTATCCATGTTTCACATATTCTTCAGCATCTATACATTGGTGATGTTAGAGCTGAGAGATTGTGTGCATACCTACGATTTCTGGGTTTAAACAGTACTTCTAGAAAACAAGATCTATAAGGAGCTGTGAACTGTTTCTTAGCATAAAGAAGAGATGGAGAGGAGATGCAGTAATGGTTTGTATATACACCAAAGTCTGCTGTAAAGATCAAAGGAAAAGTCTGCTCTCTGTGTCTGTGGTAGATTGGGCAAGAAGTAATTAAATTCATTTTTAAAATGGAAGTGCAGTAAGGGAGAACTGGCAAATTCCTGGACTAGCACTTGTCAGAGCACAACATGTCTGTCCTGGTAGTTCTGTCAAAAGCAGTAGAGATAAGCATCTGCCACGATTGTTGTGCTGCAGAGTCAGTTTTGCTTTGGGCAGAGAAGACTTCCAGAGTTTCCCTGAGTTTGTGCTCCCTTGGTGTAAAACAGCCAAGGCAGAACTGTGTGTGGGAACAAACTGGCATGGTGAGCACACAGTAACCCCAAAGTCTCTTGTGTCTGTGAGAGCCCTTCTGAGTGTGCCAGCTTTTGAGAGCATTGTGGCCCTGAATTCAAAGGAATGGTCTCTCATGAGAGGCCATAAGGACTTGTTGAGGTATACAAAACTCATGCTTCTCATTTTCCATCAGTGGGTCCAGCCTGGGACACACAGCTGTATGGCAGAGTAAGGGGGCTGAAGCACAAGGGAAGCAGAATAAACCAGCTGGGTCCCCAGGGCAGTGTCTGCAGTGTTGGGAAACCCTGATCCCTGCTGTCCTGTCTGCAAACTCTCAAAGACAGGATAATTCCAACATGCAAGTGGTCAGTGAATCTCTTAAATGCTTGATCAGCCTTTGCTTCTGCTGCATAGGGTAAGGAATGATGGGGAAGTCCCCAAAAATGGTCCAAGAGCACTGTTGAGGCACAGTCATGTTCAGTGTTTGCAGTAGTAAGCAAGGAGCAAGAAGTGCAGCTGACCCAAAGTCCCGTGTTAGTGGGTGTTAATTGTTAGAGCTCAGAGGCAACTGGCACCATGTGGTGATGGAATTGCAGTGTAGGGCAGCAGGGTGTGCCAGCTGGCTGGTTTCTGAGGCCATGGGCAGGCTGCAGGCACACACCAGCCCCTCTTTAGTCACTGAGCTATCTCATGGCCCTGATTCACTCCCTGTTTCAGAGATTTCCAGACTTCCCTGAGCGCACCATGGCAGCTACAGACCTCCTGATGGTGTGAGGTGGGACTCACACCACTGGTACCCTCCTACTGCACACAGAGCCCGAGGACTCTTACAAAACACTGTCCTGTGCCACAAACCAGCCCCTGTGGAATGCCCACCCAGGCTGACACCTCTGCTGGTAGTAGCACTGAACACAGCAGGAGGATGACTCTGGTGTGCTGGTCTCAGACCCCTCCCTGCCAACACGGTGCAGGCTTTGCTGTCTTTAGCTCTTGCCCCTTCAAACTCAGCTACAGCTGAGGCAAGTCCCTAATATCTGCTGATGTCATTGCACTGATGTAGCTGTTAGCAGGTAGAAGGCCAGGCAGGGAAAGCACATGGCCTGCAGTGCATCTTCTCTGCCAGCAATCCCAGGCAGATTGCCTTGTTTGGCAGTCATGGATCTTTGCAATGCAACCCCAGAAACAGAAGATTTATCTGATTAACATGTGTGTTGCTAGCTTGGGCTGCAAAGCGTGACTGTCAACATTTTATGGTTGCCCTTGTGGCTGTTTACTATTAAAAATAATCAATAAAATATGCGTAGAGCTTCTGGGCAAGTGTGGTGTCTACAGAGATGATTTGCTTCTTGCCTTGCTGTGTTTCTTGTGCCATGTCTCCTCCAGGCAGTGCTCCCTCCAGGACTGCTGTGCTCTGGAGCAGATGGACTGGGGTTAGATCTGAACAAGTAGGTTATAATGGCAATTCCCACTTTCAGGGCCTTCTTAAGACTTAAGTCTTTCTGTGAAGTCCATGGGGATGATCACAAACTACCTACCAGCTATTTGGGCACAAAAGTCGGTGGTTTCTTTCTCACATCCAAGACTCTCAACTAAGCAGTGACAAAAAGCAGAAAAGGATCAAACCTGCAGCCACAGAGGCCTGACTGTACCAGAACTGAAAGGAGCACATCTGTCATTGAGGGCTGTTGTCACACTTAGCTTCAAGGTGGCAATTCAGAGAACAAGACTTCCCCTGCTGTAGGACTCCTCCTGGACCTCTCATGGTCAGGGATGCTCCCCTGACTTTGTCCTTCTCTCCTTTGCAGAATGGCACCAGCTTCCATGTGTTTGACCAAGGCCGCTTTGCCAAAGAGGTGCTGCCCAAGTATTTCAAGCACAACAACATGGCCAGCTTCGTCCGGCAGCTGAACATGTGTGAGTGCAGCTCACAGGCATGTGGGCCCCACAGATATGGGGGGACAGGAGCCATGGGAGAGAATTGTGCAGAGGAGAGTTTGGGGTCTCATGTATATGCCACTTGTTGTGGCATTATTGCTTTTGCCAAAGAGGTTCTGCCTCTCAGATCCCAGAGTAGCGATCTCCTTGTGTTTACCTTAAATTCCAGCATGGAATTTCTGTTAGATTGCATTTCAGGATGTGGGCTAAGAACCAGGCGTTCTGCTTCTCTTGCATCAATTTGATGACCTATTATTATTAATTTTCCATTTTATTCTATATGGAGTTTTATCCAGCCACCAACTGTGACACCTCCCCCAGAATGTGCTGCTCTTGTGGGTCCTGTGCCCTGAGCTTATCCCTTTCACCAGCCGTATCACTGAACTAGTAACAGACAGTACTTCTCCCTGCAAACCTTGCCTTGCTGGTCAGACATTTTTACCCCTTAAAGGAGGTGTAATTTAAATTTGGTGTAATTTTCAGCCATTTCCACAATATGTCTGTTGTAATAGCTGTTTGGGTAATTAAGTTCCTTAGTCATGTTTTAACTTTGCTATTTCACTCTAAAGTAGCATTTTTGTAAATTTTAGGCCAGTTCTTAAATACAGCTTAGAAACTCTTAAGGACTTCAGAGAAGTACTCAAAGGAGATTTCCAAATGTACACGTGACCCTTTTTTCCAGAAGTGGCACCTGTTGATGGTCTGTGCCTTTGAAAAACCTTTCCCTGAATCCCTGCTGCTTGCAAATTGAGACAGGAATTCCCTAACAGCTGGCATTTCTGCTCCTGGCAGACCAATGTGCCCATGATGGAAAGGCTTTCATGACATAGGCTGCAGCAGGGGTGGCCAGTGGGGTACACAGGGCTCTCCCTTGCCCCGGGTTTTCTGGTGGTTATGCCCCAAAAGCACATCCAGGGATAAGTGCTAGCAGCTCAAAAAGTGTGGAGAGTGATTAGAAATGTCCTCAAGAGTGATGAGGGTGGGAGCTGGAGGGAGTACTGGCTCCTGTTGCCCATCAGCCGTGTCCTCTCTGTGCAGATGGCTTCAGGAAGGTGGTGAACATCGAGCAGGGGGGTCTGGTGAAGCCTGAGAGGGATGACACTGAGTTCCAGCACCTCTGCTTCCTCCAGGGCCATGAGCACCTCCTGGAGCACATCAAGAGGAAGGTGAGGGCACTGTGTGGGAGTGGGGAACAGGCACCTGCCAGATCCTGCTCAGCATAACTCCAGCATCACCCTGGTCTTGTTCCTGTCCTCCCCACACACATGTGCACCTAGGCTGCAGGTTCTTGGTTTGCAGGGCTTTGTCTATGTTTTTCTGCTCTGTTGCGGTCTATCACAAGATGTTTGTGTAGTGCTGCAGGGCCAGGCTTGCTTTCCACCCCTCTGCCTTTGAATTGTTACTGCTTTCCTAGAGAAATACGGCATAAGTCCTGCAGGGTCTTCAACAGCCATCTCTTTTTCTTATACAAGAAACAACCTACTCCTGCCCTCTGTTTTCTGTCTTTTAACCTATTATTAATACCCCCAAAGTGTTGTTCTCTTACTGAATTAGCATAGTAACTTCTGAAAAGGGACTTGAATAAAAGCCTTTTGGAAATCCAAGTGTAGTGTGTCAATTTGAAACATTTCATCAGACTCATCCCTGTAAAACATGAGGCTTGATTGGGTATCTCTGTAGTTAAAGTAGAAAGATTAAATCAGTCTAGATCAATTCCTCACTGATACTCAAAATACCTTTGTTTTCCCCCAAGCTGATTTGAAATAGGTCCCCACTCTGACAGGGAATGTAATTCTGCCAGCAGACCCTGTGTATGAGTAGATTTGTCCTGCACTTTGCTCTGTTTATCTCTTGCAGTAGTACCCCATGGATAGTTCAGACTTTGGCACGTGGCCTGTCCTGGTGTTTCAGCTGGTGACAGTCCTGCACCTGAGCCACCACAATGACTGTCTCTGTCCATGGCCCTTCTTGCACAGGTAAAATCGACCTTTGATTTCTTTCACCTCAGGTGTCAGTAGTGAAAAGTGAGGAGACCAAGATGCGCCAGGAGGACCTCAGCAGGTTGCTATACGAGGTACAGATACTGAGGAGTCAGCAGGAGAACATGGAGTGTCAAGTGCAGGACATGAAGCAGTGAGTTGAATCCTACTCAGGCTGCTTCCTATGGGCATTTGCTTCTCTGGAGTGGGGAAGGGTTGAAAGGAGGAGCCTTGTACACTTCCCTCCTCAGGGAGCACGTGGAGCCAGGGACTGACCAGAGATCTGTTGAGACATGTAGGATTTCTATGCACATCTGATCTACAAAATGTGAATTAATGCTCAGCCTCTCTGTCTTGTTTGTTTTCCCTTCACAGATGAGGAAAGCACAGAGAAGGTCACACAGGAAATATGTGCATAACCTGGGGACTTAGATAACTATTGCCTCCAGATGGAAGTGGTGATAAAGATGTAACTCTCACACATACAAGAGTCCTTGAAAGAAATGTGGTGGAGTCCACTCCAGCTATTAAGAAATTACTTTTCTGCTATCATTCACCTCCAAAATTTATGACTGGCCTAAAAAATATAGTATGTTATAATGTGTAACATAAGAACTTCTGTATAATTTAGTCCATGGACTCATCTCCCTGAGACTGTGTCATCTGACATGGCCAGAATTGTTGGATAAGAGCAAACCAAGCTGATGCAATGCTTCCTGCATGTGGCTGCCTCCAGCTGTCTGAGACTCTGGGATTTTCTGACTCAGACATGGTCACTAAAAGATGAGGAAGTGGATATGGTTTTATAAATCATGTACTTGGAGGGGTTTTTATTTGCCTCCAGAATTTTAATCTTTACAGAGAGCTTTGTTTAAAAAAGCACTTGAATAATCAAATAGACCCAAACCCTTTCTTTTGTAATGAGAGCTGATATTCATACACCACCAGATGACACTGTCATTCTGGGCCTTAAGAGTAACACTGCATACTGGGAAACTTCATTTCAGACCAGCACCTTACGTGCAATGGATGCCTATTTTTATCCTGCACCAATTTTTAATGACTCCCACACTTAGCACTTCCGTGAGTTTGCACTGTTAAATCCAGATACAGCAGCAATGAGTTTCTGGGCTTGCATTTGATTTAATTTTTAAGGAGTTTCAGTATTAGTGATTTGGCATTGATTTTAATCTAGTCTTCATTTTGATTTGCTTGCTCCTTCCCTCCATCTGGCAAAATTGCATTCAACTGATGAAAATAATGTGATTTTTATAAACTAAGACAGAGGAGAAATCCCAAGCTGATTCCATGTTAAGAAATTTACACTGGTGAAGAACAATTAGGACATAACTCCAGTACAAGCTGTCAGACTAAGGAATGCTGCTTTGCTGAAGATCCTGTCAGGACCAGTACAGAAAGCTCACTGCAGAGATTCTTGCTATACAAGCTGTTCTACTGTGCTCTTCAGATCTCTAGACCTTACCTTCCCAGTTCTAGCATCCATCCACACTAGAAACACTAAAAAGCAAAAGGATTTATCAGTTTCACCTGTATGATAGGTTTTGCTGGCCTGACAGTTTAGGTACGTCCATATTCTGTAGAGATAAATTGGCTGGCAAAACCTTTAGCAGCATGGACTTGGCTGGCATCCAGACTTGAAGGCAGCACAGTAAATAAACTCTGCCTCTCTCCATCCCACCTAGGGGCTGACTGTTAGAGGACGCCTGTAAGCTCCCCTCTGTGCTGCTTCATTTACAGACAGAAAATACATTTTCTTTATGCAAGCTGGACACAGGTCTGTGCTGGGTTAAATCAGTGGCTCCCACTAATAACATCATTACAGTCCTCCTAGTTCAAGGCTCTGAGATGCAGGAGCATCTTTTTTTCTGCTCCAGTCACTACCAAACGTGCATTTGAACCACCACTTGTATGAGTTTTAAGCAGGTAGAATACACAGGGTCTCGGTTCATAGTCTTGTCTTTGGGAACACTGGTGCAGTTGTGGAGAGGTTGGGCTTTCTGGGCTGCCGTGGAAGGACAGTCTGGGTGATCCAAATCACTCACAGTCACAAATCAGGCCTTGCTGAAATTCTGAGTTTGGCCCAAATGTTCCACAAAAACATGTGTCCTCTTGTTACCTTCCCCTATGAATGTTGGCTTCTCTTTATGTTTTTCCTCCATGCTTTGGTCCATAGTTCTCTTGAGGTCAAGGAAGAAAAAGGAAGGAAATTGTGTGAGCTTGTTTTGGACACTGAAAAGAGTCAAACACTGCAAGAGCCTGGAAGTGAGACAGACTTTGCACAGTTGAATCTGCTGTGCATCATAGCAGCACCATGGGCTGTTGATGTTTCTGTTCTCATGGAAAATGTCTGTTTCACTTTCAGGCAAAATGAAGTTCTTTGGCGGGAAGTTGTTTCTCTGCGGCAGAACCACTCACAGCAACAGAAAGTCATCAACAAGGTAGTTACCATATAAACTCCAAACTTGCTTGTGCTGTCTGGTCTATATCCTCCTCTGATTTTTTTTCTTGTCCCATAATTTCCACACTGTGATACCACAGTGTAATTATTTTCCCTTTCTTTTAAGTTGTGTGATGCTTTTTATGTGTCCTATAGAAACAGGTCATTAACAAAGCACAGACCCTTAAGCAAAAGATTTTAATTTCTGTCAGTCCTTTCTTTGATGTTAGAAACCACTTTTCTGTTGAAATCCTGGGCGGGAGAGCACAACTGTCACTAATTGCCCTGTGTTGGCTGTGTTCTGGTTGTACCAATGCCTTTGGGCTTCCCAAATCTTCCTCTTCCATTTGTTCACGAGAGGAATCCCACTGCTGCCAGCACTTGTGGGAAGCTGCAGGTGCAGAATTTGCCACCCATTGCCCCACTGGGGGAATGTAACAGCCACTGTTACATTTTCTAGCATTACTGGTATAGTTGAGGAATTACTGTACAACCTTTTAGGCTGCAGAACCATCTCCTTTAAAATCTAGCATGACCAGTATAGAAAAGGCCTCTCCAGTGATTCCTGGATGGTGCTGACATGACTGGGCACGTCACACATCCCAGTCCCCACGTTCTGACCCTCACGTGGCATCATGGAGTCACAGGACAGGACAGAAATGCACGAGGCTATCAAGCCTTCCTCCAGCTCTGAGGCTGGACTAGCCACATGCTTCTTTGTAGAGGCTTTTATGCAACACTATTTTGTTATATTGAGCAATGAGTAAGAGCCAGCTGTGATATATAATAATAATGCTCTCTTTGTTTGGAGGTCAAAGCAGAGCATTAAGTTCAAGCTGACCTGGGAATATGTTGCTAAGTGATTCCTCTCCAAAGCTACTCTCCATCCTTTTTAGTGTCCTGTTATATCAGCACTGACATTCACACAACTGAAAAACTCAACTGAAAGAGCTCAGACCTCCATCCAGGCTCTCCATAGGGAGTTGCCTCTCTCACTTGCAAAGTCTTTGCCAGACTTTATAGCACCTCTTCTAAATGTCTCTGAAAACTTTAATGGATCCAGGCCTAACTCCGGGCCTAGGAATGTTTGCATGTGCACTTCTCAGGTCTGTTAGGACCAGCTGAAGTTCTTCATGCATGAAGAGAGAAAGTGCTGAGCACATGCACCCAGGAACCCTTGCACAAAGCAGGCACATGGCTGTGTCCCTTGAAAACAGGCAGGCTGTTTTGAGTTCTTGAACATCTCATTTCTGCTTCAGGCTCCAATGTCTCATGCAATTTGGCTCTTATATTCTATGGCTGTTTTGGGGTGCTGTTGGGAGGGAGGAATGTGTGAGACAAGAATGGCTGCGAGAGCAGGGAGTGCTGAATCACTCTGCTGATTAACACCGGATTTTGATCTCTCCTGACAGCTGATTCAGTTTCTGTTTGGCCAGCTCCAATCAAGCCCCAGCAGCACTGGGATAAAGAGGAAGCTGTAAGTCCCCGTGTGTGGTGCACACGCTCACGGGTGCATAATGCTGCCCCCTCAGTAAAAGCACAAACTCAGCTCGCCCAGGCGGGCGGTCACCGGACCAGGGCTCCATGGTGATGGGAGCTGAATGGGCTGAAGTGCAGAGTCAGACCTGCTGACAGGCCCCATTCACTGCTCTGTAGAGAAGCACCGTGTCAGCTCGTGACCTTTATTTGGGGAACACAGCACGCAGAGGGACATGGGAGTGCTAACTAGAGGGAGGCCAAAGGGCAGGACCCCAGTGCTGCTCCTACAGGTTCCAGTTTTGCCACTTGGCAGCAGTAGGAGCAGGGCTGGGCCCAGCCAGCCCACAGACATCTTTAGTTTGACCCACAGTCACTGAATGTGGTGTGTATCCATCACTGGCTTGGTGGTGTTAACCTGCAGGCCTTACAAAGAGGAAGGTGAGGAAAAATTTTAGCTGAGAGGTATCTTTAGATAGGCTCTTAAAGGCAAGTGAATAGAATGACTTGAGTTAGGAAGCTTAGTGCCTTTCAGGAGAGCAGCTATGCCTTTCTTGCCCTGGGGTGCTTGTGATTTAAAGAAGGGGAAGAGACTATTGAGTGGAATTTGCTAAGAACAGGGACCTGCCTTCAGTTCCCACCTTTATTGCCTTGTGGCCTTTGACAACTTAGAAACTTCTCCATGCTGAGGAGAAAGAAGCCAGACCTCCCACGAGCAGCTCAAAGGAGTCAATTTTCATTAAGCCAGTGTCCTTGTTCTTGACTGACTCCTCTTGTGAGGATTGTAAAGGCAGCACAGCATTGAATGAAGGAGCCCATAATCTGTACAAGCCAGCAGGGTATGTGCATCTCTGCCTACCCCCTCTGCTGAGCCTCTTGGAAGAGCTAAACACTGCAGACAGCAAAGAAAAGGGCTCAAGGGAAGAATAGCAGCTGCTGAGGTTCATGACTGGGGAAATTTTCCTCCAGTAGAGTGGGCAAGCAGAAAAGTGAGATGCCAGATCTAACCTCTAATTTTCATGGTCAGGGCTGTCTCCTCCCTGTAAAAGCTTTGCCTCCCAAGAAATGTCTTAGGCCATTGCTTTTTTGTAAAAAGCCAAATAATTAGTGAGAAACTGTGCTGAAAAGGGCAGAAGAGCACAGAACTACCTGCACAGCAACTGTATTGACCCCCTTATAATGGGGGATTACACTTCACACAACCAGCTGCAATTTGCAAGGTAATTTGAGTTCCTGCTTCCTTGGAAACACAAAGGTCTGTCTTCCAGAAACCTCAGCTCTTCTGTCTATATCTGCATCCTTCGTGTTTTATCTTTCATGTTTGTGTTTTCCTGCCTCTTCTAAAGGGCTGCAGGAAAGGATGGTGTGCAGCCTGGAGCTACTTGGTGCAGAGCAGAGTGCTGCCTGGGGGCTCTGGGTAGGTTTGGGCAGCGTGGGCAGGTCTGCATCCTTCCCCTCTCTGTTTGGGTAATGCTCTTTTTTGACGGTGACCTCCTCCAAAACTGTTGTTGGCCTTCCTTGCCCATAACACCAGGCAAGAAAGACTCTTACAGCTGAGGAGAACCAGAGTAGACAGGGGAGAAGAGCTCTTGGCTCAGGGATGTTTTGTGTGTGAGCAGCCAGGAGCCAGTCAGTACATGCTGGAAGACAAAACTGTTTCTCTTCACAGACCTCTGATGCTTGACAACGGGATCTCGGCTGCACCGGTGCCCAAGTTCAGCCGGCACCTGTCCCCAGACCCCCTCCATGACCCCTATTTCATACAGTCGGTGCGTTCCGCCTCTGGCCTCTCTGGGATGGCTTTGGCTGGGGGGAGTGTTTGCAGCAATAATAGAGATTATGGAGAGATTTGGCAAGATTTTGGCAGTGAAGAAGAAATGAAGTTTGCTAAGCTGAATGACATTTAAAACTCCTTCAGCTCCGCAGTTTTATGGATGCCTTCATGAGGGAGGCCATGGGCTTTGTGGGGAAAGGCAGACCCTGCACACTGAACTCTCCATGTTGGTTCTCCAGCCTGGTTCACCTTGAGGGAGTAAAAGTGGGATTTTTGTACCCTCTGAGGGATCCCCACCATCAGCAGAGCAGGCACCAGACACTTCTGTCATGCAGTTAAAATATGTAAGCTGGCCTGGGAGGCTCATACAGCCCTATTGGGCTGTGTTGGATCTTTCCCTCCAGAGGAAGCTGAGCAGTCTAGGCAAAATGTCAGACATGGTAAAACCTCTTGGTTGCTGACACTTCACAGGGTTCATTTCACACCTGTACCTCTGTGCGGTTGGAGGAAAAGTGAGAGGAAATTATAATGTTGCATAGTAGGTGAAATCTTTCTTGGTTTCCATAAAGGGGGGACTCAAAATCACAGTGAATAAACCCTAACCATCTCAGATAGGGCCTTGGACCTGTGTTGGGGTCAGAAGGATAAATGTATACGACTTTTGCTTTCTTCTTAGCCATCGACAGAGCCTCCCTCTTGCATAAACAGCCCTGCAATTGCTGGAGGACCCATCATATCTGATGTTACTGAAGCATCACCATCCAACATCATGAATATGCAATCCCCTCCTGAAAATGACAGGTAAACATGTTTGTAATTAAAAATAGGGAGAGTTGGGCATAAACATGCTTATGCAACTCTTCTCAAGAGTTTTTTGGGGCTGTAATTCTACCAAAGTTTCTGTCTGATTTGCAAATCTCTATAGAGATATGGGATGGAATACATTTTTCCAGTTTGCAAAGTGGGTCAGATTTTCAGAATTAGAGGGGGGTAATAACAGCATAACTTTCAAAACAAAATCCTGAGTTTCATGCTGAGAACTTGCACTCCCCACTTGGAGAAATATTCCATGTTTCTTTAGTCCCAAGACAGGGACTGTCTGAGACTTAATTAAATAATAAGATACTGACACTTGTATGAGAGAGAGAAGGAGGGTTTCCTTTTGGCTTTGGCAAAGAAGAAGCAATCAAATTGTACATCTAACAGCTAATGAGAACAGAAAGGTTGCATCACAACAGCTTCCGATGTTTGACAACTTTTCTGTGAAAAGGCCCCAGTAACTTAAGAACTGAATGCAGAGGTATTTTAATGCTTATCTCTTCCTGCCACAGACATGCAGTGTATTTAGGGCTAGCAGCAGAATAGCTAAAGCTATGTCAGTGGAAAGTAAGTAGACAGATGAATCATGGAAAGAGTTTCTCAGGCACAGAGGCAAGGCAGTTATACTCTAGAAATTGCCTGTAAATCTGTTGCATAATTGAAACCATAGCCATAAAATTAACTAGAAGCATGTAAAGAGCTTTAGATTAAAAAAAAAAAAAAAACAACAACAACAAAAAAATAAACCTGGAAGCCATTTCTAAAACAGAAAATCTTTAATATAACCTTTAAGTTAAGTTGCTTATTTCTACTAATTACTGAGTGCCATCTGGTGGCTTCTGATCTGTTCTGTGTCTGCATGACTTTAGCATCTGAGCCAGCCATGGCCCCAGTCAGGTCAGGTGTGGTACCTCCTAATTCAGCTGTGCTTCTGGTGGGAATTTGGGCCCCACGAGATGAGAAGATCACCTGAAAGGAATGTTGAGGAAAGCTCTGTAGGGTCACAAACCGTCCCTGTTATCTCCGTGCCTTTGCTGCTTTGGCTCCAGCTGTGCAGGTTCACAGGGAGCTCTAATGTCTCCTACAAGTAACACAGAGGTTTTTACACACAAAATGCTTCAAAACAAAACTTCATTGTCATTTTTCCATCTGGAAATAATGTGGGGTGCCCTTCCCATTGGAAAAGGCAAACCTCTGCCTCCAACCAAGCAAAACACCTGACTATGACTGTCAGATCTTGACAGCAGGGCCACAGGATCCTGACCTGTGTCATTGGGATATCTAGAGTGCTTGCTGATTCAATCCTAACTCCTGCATGGGATGGTCTTACTGATCCCATTGTTATCTCTAAGGTGGAGACTTTTCTTTTTCAGGGGAATCTCTTTAGCCCAGTGTCCCTTTAATGTGTCCCTAACACTCACCCAAGAAATGATCAGTGCATAGAAATTTATTTTCCATATTTGCAAAACAATTGAATGGGGCAAATTCATTCTAGCTGTGACTGATGAAGTGACTGCAGATATTCCAGCTGAGCATGTTTCTGGAGCTTGCTGAAAAGAAAGAGAGGCTGCTGCCTTCTTTTGCCCATCTGAGGAAATGGAAAGACCTTCTGCGGCAGTTTGGTGGGAAGTGGGAGCAAGGCCTTGTGCTCCTGCCCTTCCCAGTAGCACGAGGCCTTTGCAGAGCAGCTGTGTGTGGTGCTCAGCCTTGTCTCTGCCGCAGGGAGAAGTGCCTCATGCTGATCAAGGAAGAGCCAGTGAGCCCCGGGGTGAAAGGCAGCGCGGAGCCCGAGGTGCCCCTGCCCGGCTGCCGGGCCTGCTCCGAGCCCCCGGTGCTGCCCGTGGCCATGGTCCAGTCTGTCCTGGAGGGCAAAGGCAGCTGTGGTGCAGCCCCACCAGGGACCTCCCAGGCACCCGAGAGGAGAGGCAGGAGGGCCCTGCTGGACAGGTGAGGCAAGCAGGGAGAGCTGCGGCCCTGCCTGTCATGGCCCTCTCCTCCCCTGCCCAGGTGGGGAGGGAGGGTCACTGCAAGCACCAAGTGCAGCCTGAGGAGCTCCATCCTCTACCTGTGGCACCTGCAGAGGACCCCTGAATCCCAGGGGACAGTTCACAGAGGTAGGAGGCATGAGGATCACTTGCTTGAAGGAGCCGGCAGAGGAAGAGCTGTCAGAGAATGTGCAGAACTGTGGGAGCAGGAAGAGGCTTTTTGCATTGAGAGGGATTTGCCCAAGGTCCGAGTGAAAGCTGGAGCCCAGAGCAGCATCTGTGTCTGCACTGCATCTGCAGGCCTGCACTGCACTGTGCCACAGCCCTGCCCAGGGGACTGGCACTGGGACATCAGGCTCAGCCCCAGGGTGATCCCAGTGCCACTTCTGGGGCTGTGCTCTGAGACTGAAATCCCAACAGCAGCCGTGTCATGGGGGAGTGTCCAGCAGAAGGAAAGCATGGTGCAGCTGGGTGGATGATGGGGAACTTCACTGCAGCTCATTCTTGATAGCAATTGCAGCAGTGTAAGGAGGGGAACCCAAAACACTCAATAGGGTTATCAGAAAAGCTTCCATTTTCCTTTAAATTGTTACAGAGAATCAAAGTCCTCCCTCTGAACCCACTGGATGCTTAAAAACATACTACTAGAAGAAAAATAATCCCTTTTTTAAAGACCTGATTTTAAGAGAAAATTTTTATAACTTTTGGGGGGTTTAATCACAGCAGGGCCTCACTGTTGCTCATTTAGTTGAATGTCTCTAGTAAATGCAGCCTGCAGGGTAAATGCCTGCAGCTAAAAGTCACTCATTTAAAAAGCATTAATTAACAGTAATTCAGGCATCTCCGACAAAGGAGAGTGGCAATGCAGCCTGTTCTGGTTCCAAGTGCATTTCTAAAAGGGTTTCTTCTAAGGGAAAGCTTTAATTTTCCCAGTGTTGAGGAGATGTGCACAGACTATCCATCCCCAAAGCACGTGTCACCCAGCAGAGGGATTGTCTCGTTTGTTTTACCATCTGCCCAGTCCCTGTGTACTCTGCTGAGCTGTACTCTGGGATTAAACCAAGTTTTATGGCATAAACCCAGGCTGACAGCAGGCTCTTGGTTTTCAAAATTAGATTTAAACATGAACATCCTTTTGGAAAGCTGCTCAGTCCTGCTTTCTGTAGGTACCTCTGCAAGTTTCCTTTGTGGCAATGTTTCCCCTTGTGTTTTCTCAGAACAGACATTTCAGACCCGTTGGAGGGCACCGACTGGAGCCTGGAGGGGCTGCAGCTGCTGCTGAGGAGCCAGCAGTACAGCCTGGAGCCTGCCAGCCTCTTGGATGTGAGTGTTCTGGGAAGGCTGCATCAAACAGAGCTGTGAAGTTCACAGAGGTTCCTTTGGGCTGTGATTCAGGTCATGCTGCTTGTTCTCGTGTGGCATTTTGTCTGCCACATGCAGCTTGTGGAGTCACAGCTCTGTTTTGACCTGCTCATAAGATTTCAGCTTTAAATTGTGCTTTTTTTCTTTTTAATATGCATATTTGGACTTCTAGGGGCACAAAGCAGTGCATTTGGTAAAGAAATAGACATGAGACCTGACACATTTATGTAAAATTTGTTTAATATGACTCTCTAGCTAGTTTAATAATTTCTTTATTGGGGTTAATTTATTTTCTGCATATTCTACGTCTTAGATATTCCTGGATTGTGTTTAGCTTTTCCTACCTTCCCCTCTTCCTCATATTCTGGGAAATGTAGCCAATGTAAAATCCTCTCTATTGAATCCTGAGCTATTATCAGTCTCAGTTCTTAGATCATCTTTCTTTAGAAAACTGATGGTGGCTTTTTCTTAAGCAGACATGCAGAAGGTTTGTTTATTTCTTTGTTGTACGTATAGTTGGTATACGAAAGGTTTTTGCCAACAATCAAATAACTCTGTATGTTAGAAAAAAATCTATGTGTCAAATATATGGCCCCTTGAGGAGGTGTTTCAGGTAAAGGCAGCTTGTAAGCTTGCATGGATAAACAGAGTGAAAAGTAATTTTAAAAAAAATCAATCTTATTCTCTTCAAGCAGTTCCCAAGTGTCTGTGGTTTATTCTGACTTTCCAGAGAGCTTTTCTAATGGTTGCTCTATCACTGACTGTTGGTTTCTGTTTCTTGTTTCTCATTAGGAAGTGTTTTCCTGTTACTGACACACTTCTCTCTCTGTGCAACTGTCACAAGAGTGAGAATGAATCACAAAATTGGCCTCAGATCAACAGATCCTTTTCCCAAATTGCTCAGACTTGTCAAGAAATTGCCACCAAAACCCTGATGCAACAGTAACATGTCCTCTGCAACTAAACTCTGGAATGCTTTTAGAAGTTATTTGAATCTGGGAGTGTCCTAGGACTCAAGAGCAGCAGAAAGGGGCTTTGATTTGTGTGTGAGCTGCCCTGGTTAGTGACAGGACAGTGGCATGGGGTGTCTGTGCTGTCCCTCCCCTGGCAGGCAGCAGGCTCCTGGCTCAGCACAAGTGCCCCAGCCCAGCCCAGCTGTGCCTCCAGTCAGCACAGGAGCCTTTGTGTGCAGCTCCAGTTAGTGCAGGGCTCACCCTCCAGCAGGCAGGGCAGGGCATGGGAATCTCAAACCATTTCACCTTTCACAGCCCTAACTGTGTTTTTGTCCCAACAGGTCTTTAATCCCAATTTATCTCTGAGTGAATGGAATTTGACTGAAGTGGAAGCCAGTCTGCCCCCGGTAAGAGCTGTGTGTTTCTGAGCTATGAAAACAGCAATCACAGGACCCCAGAATGGCTGAGGTGGAATGACCTTAATGTTCATCCTGTTCCAAAGCCCCTGCCCACTGCAGGGACACCTCCCCTAGATCTATTTGCCTAAATAATAATGGAACTATGAAGCAGAGCTTGTGCATAACTGAGGAAGTTATTTCATGACCCGAGGGGAGAGTGAGCTAAAGCACAGCATGTAGGCATCTCCTGGGGGCAGCATGGGAGTGTTGTATTATACTCTTGACCTGTTTTTCCCACTCAGCCAGGCTTTGTCTGGAGACAAGCTTTGACTGTTGGTGTCCTAGAGGCTTTAACTGCAACTGGCTGCTCTAAACTTTCTCTTAGTGAGAATGTCACGTCCTACTAATACCATAGATTTATAAAGTGTCTTTGTGCTAGAGATCTTTATAAAATATGCCTTTGCAAAGTGCAGCCATCCCTGTATGTTTCAGGAGCAGTAAAATACCATGCAACTACAACAGAAGTTCCTGCATGCCCGTGCATGAAGAAGCATGGAGAAATTGTTGGGCAGTATTTCTTTGGAATTGATACTTACACAGACATTTCTGCAGTGCAGAAAGAGCAGGTTTAATAAACAGTGAAGGAAACTGTAGACTCACAGAAGGATTAAGGTTGGAAGTGTATTGTATGGCTGGGCTCCTTTTCCTGTATGAGAGAGTGAATTTTCAGAGCCCTTGTGACAACCAAGTTGAATGAAAGCTTGGATGGTTCTGACAGATATCTCTACAAGATGCTCAAGTAGTGAAATGCAAAAGGTCTCTAAGCCTTCTGCATGGTATCAACATCCTTTTTAGGTTTTGATAATTTTGAATTTTCTAGGTAATTCCACTTCCTGAGTGTTAGGAAGAAGAGTGTCTAGGAAATAGTTAATATTAATTAGCAAGTCTTGGAAGCAAGGGCTATTACCTTTTAAAAAGAATTACAATAAAAGGCCAGGAAAGGGGGCTGCAATGTTCAATAGTTCAGTCCTTGAGCCCACTAAATTTCCCAGGAGCTCTTGCTTGTCCTACAGAAAGTCATGAGCATGGAGAAGTGTGGAAGCAATACGTGCAGGAGCTCTGTGCCTAGAGCACTGTGTAAGCAAAAACCAGTTTCAATTTAAAGACAGTCATAGGAAAATGGAAAGAAAATCTCTTTCCTCTTTGTACTGGCTGCAGAGGACTGTGGGTTTGCTTTGTATGGCAGCCACAGTGACAGCAGCCTGGCCCCTCATGTGACATGAGCTTCACACAGTATTAGCCAGTGCTGAAAAGGGGATTGCACCTCCCACAGCCGTGTCCTTGGGGCAGATCTGCCCTGAGCACTGGTGTGGCTGTTCTAGTGAGGTGGGGACAGGCTGGGCAGGGAGGATGGCTTGTGTTCTTGTGTTCCTGTGGGTGTTGTGCAGTGGGGTGAAGCACCGGCGCTCAGACATGGCCTAGTTCTAACAAGCTCCCCTGTCTTTGTATAATTGTACATTGTAGTTTATATTTTTGCATCAAGATGCAGCGACTCACGGTGGATCTGGAGAAGAGTGCAACTGAGCTGCCCCCAAAAGTGTTCAACCCACCATTCAACACCACCTGCCCAGGTAGGAGCAGCAGCAGCTCTGTGGACCTGGCAGTAGGATGTAGTTCAGGCAGCCAGACAGGATGTCCAGCACGGACAGTTTGCCATTTGAGGGAGCAAACCACATCTGTCATTTTACTTTCATGATTGTCAGCCAGCAATGTTTCCACAGCAGTGGCTGAGCCAGTTCTTGAGCAGTGGGAAAAGGGTGGGGGATAAACTGAGGTGTAAATGGAATTGAACTGGTTTTGCACTGGGTCCCCATCATGTCTGACAGTGTTTCCACAGTTTTCTCTGCCTGTTCAATGTGGTGATCTCAGTGGGAAGGGTGGTAAGAGCTGGTACAGTGTTGGGGTTCCTCTGGTTCCTGCTGCAGAGGAGGTGCCCCAGCAGCTGCTGGCAGCCAGAGGCACAGGCTGTGTGTCCCTTTCTCCAGACCTTTTAGCAGACCTCAAGGGAACAGTCCAGCTGATCCACTTGCTGACTCTGATAAAGTGTGTTATTGACCTTAGATATGAATCCAGGAGTGTTGCCCTGGCTGTGGAATCGTGATGTATGTTCATGTGTGTTCAGCTGGGATAGACCTGAAAGAAAAGCTCTTGTGAGCCCCAGTTTGGTGCTGTAGCCACCTGAACCTGCCCCAGTTTTGATTCATTGTGTGTCATTCAAGGACTTGCAGCCTCAGCCTGTTTCACCAGCACCTCAAAGGCATTAAAAGCCCAGGTACACTGAAGAGAGTCCTTGAGCATCCCCTGTTTGCAAACCCTTTCTACAAAGAGGGAAAAAGACACATCTTGAGTGAAGGAGAAGAGCAGTTGCTCTCATCCTCTTCTCAGTGTCTCCAAAATTCAGTCATCCCTCTTTCACTTGTGAGGCATCTCAGCTTTCAAGCAGCACCCACCTGGTGACCTGCAGAGACTCCCCTTGATTTTAATGGGCTATTGAATGAGTCCAAGTTCTACCCAGGTACTTCCAAGCAATTTTGCTGGAGTGAGGCTCCTCAGTTGCTGCTGCAGTTGGGATTTGTCACTTTTCAGTTCTACATATGTGAAACTAGGCAACCTGCCTTCCAGAAGCTCAATTTTCTGCTGTCTGTTCCTAGGGAAAGATGTCATCCTTGAAAGTGCCCAGCAGTTCCTCCTCGACCGTCAGTCCATCTTTGGGAACGACCTCATCAGCTTGCCTGAAAATTCATCACTTTATGTTCCCTCTGAAAACACAGCTTCCTACGTGTCCTCTGTGGGTGTCCAAGGGGATATCCCTCTAAACCTGAGTTCTTCCACGGACAACAGCCAGTGATTTAGCTCCCAAGAAACAAAACCTCCCTCCCACCCATCCAAGCATCCACAGGTTTGAATGTGAAGAAACAAAACTGACTCAGAAACCTGCAAGAGAGTTTCTTTTTGTGCCCTTTTCTTTTATTTTTTTTTTAGTAGGTGGAAATGGTCAGTAGCTCTTGCATTACCCTCCCTGCACCTGGATTTCAGTGTTTTTTAAAACAAAATACTACTTCTGGTGCTTGCTCCGAGGGGGAGTGAGAACTTGCCAGGATTTGTTTTTCCTTAAAAATGCTTTAGAAATTTCAAATCTTTTAATAAAATTTAAGTGAAGAGTAGCTTGAAAGTCCATCTGAGGCTTCCTAAAATAGTGATCCTGACTAGTGCCTGCAACAGCAAACTGTTAGATTTTACTGGGGCAGCACAGATTAGCTAAGATGCCTGACCCTTGTTGATGCTGGTAATTGAATGGAAAATAGTTCTACATGCCAGTCCAATGCTCTAAAAAGATTTTTTAAACCATTTTCTGGGTTTTATGGGATGCACCTGTTCCTCCTAGGGTGAGTAGGAAAAAGATCTCTTGGGGTGTGTAGAAGCTTGTTTTCTGAGTGACCCCACCAAGAATGTGCCTCTGGCTCTTAGGGGAGCTACAGATCATCACAGGCCACAAAACATCCCATGGTGAGTTGAGAGTTTTGTTGTTTGGGATTTGTTTTGCCCCAAATTTATTTTCTCTTACATATAGGCAGGGCACTCCATACTTAGAAAAGGGATAGACTTTTCTGCACACACAATTTTCCATGTGCAGAGAGGGCTGAGGGAGTGCACTCTGGGTTTTGGTGCTGGCTAAGTATTTCATGTCCAGTTCAATGGGTTTTTTTCCCTTGGCTTTGACCTGTTCTATTTCCCCTGAAGATGTGCCTGTTGGTTTATTGATGTGTAAGATTGATCAAACAGTTTAATTTATTGGATCCCTTTTTTAGATGGACTCTCAGCTGCTCAGTGTAGAAGAGAGGCAGAATGGTTAGTCCACCATGTCCCACAAACTTTTCTTCTGTCCTTTGTGCATCTGAGACCAGCCTCAAAGGCTGAGCTAACCTTCCCCACCATGTGGTTTCTGATAACTGAGTTTCTCAACAAAGCACAGCTTTGTTTTTTATGCTGTAGTTCTAATGAGAACGTATTATTTATCTCAGTATCTTCTCCCTGAGTTACTTTTCCTTAGGAAGGTTACCCAAATGCAGTAGGACAGACCCAGGAAACTCAATTAACTCAGGCCTCCTAAGGGCTTAGACAGGGAGGTTTAAGCTGTGCCAGTACTATCTGAAAAAATGCTTGGCCTGCCTTCATTGCCATGACAAGTCTTGGTTATGAACCACATTTCTGAGCATTGTGGGCAAGCAGCATCCACCCCAAAGTGTAGCTAATCACTCACATGAGTGCAGGCTCAAAATCTCCTCAATAAGATGAGCATTTTTAAAATAGACCTTCCTGTCACAGCCCTTCCCTCCATCCATTTATCACTATGTGAACAAATGTGTTAGTTCAGAAACATTCACTTTTGAGCACATTTTTGCCCAGCTGATTCCTGTGCTGGGAGCTCTGTCACTGCCTTGGTGGTGTGGTCTCTGCAGGAGTGAGGTTGTGAGAGCTCCCGAATTAATCCTGGCCACTGTTTGTGTTCAGGACTAAGGGAAAATTCCAGCAGCCCCCACTGGTCTGGTATTTAGATGATGTGCTTGAGTGCATCCTGGACAAGGTTTTTCTTTTTGACAGATTTGTGCTTAGAAATTTCACCTAGATCAGCCCCTTTCCACCCTATTTTGCCCTTTCCAGCGATGGAAAGTCATTGAGTTGCACTCTGTTCACTTCTTTTCTCATAGATAATTGAAAACTGCCTGGTGTCTCCTGACACTGGCAGTGTATGTTCAAGATTTACACCCTTCTCAGAGCTTCCACACTCCAGGCTGCTCTCATGTTAACACTGAATGTATTGATGCAACAAGGTATTTAAGCACATGCTTAACTTCCAGCTCCTGAGTAGTTTTCCTGTGTTTCTCTGGAGCCTGTCACATGCTTGAGGCTGGGCATAGCTGGTGTCTGACTGGATGTCTGCTTGGTTTGAGAAATGAGCCCCGGGGAGCATTGCCCGTGGGCACAGCCGGGTGCAGCTGGGCCCTGGCTGTGTCCTACAGGGCGGGCTCCAGCCTGTGCTCGTGGGGAGCAGCCTCTCAGGAGGGTTCCAGGGGTTTTCTTCAGGCTTTTTGCTCTACCATAAACATGAGATTGGAGCTTGGTGGTGAGAGAGGAACCTCCAGGAAGAGCACTCAGGAGCCATTCCTGCGCAGAAGGAAGCTTGTGTTCCTTGGCTTTTTACATTGTTAATTTCACTTGAAGGTGATGTGCTGAGACTGCGTTTTTGCACTATGCTGTACATTTGTAAAGTTTTACAGAAGACACTAATTAAACACGTTTCATTTTTCTCATTTAGTCCTGCTTTGGCATTTCTCTTACTCCTTTCATCTGTCCCTTACTCCCCTTCTCCTTCCCAGGTCCTCAGTGACAAGTAAAGATTGCTTCTAAGCATTCAGATTCCCTTGTGAGGGCCCACGGGTGGGTTGTGGTCACTGTGTGAACTAAATCTAAAATGTCCCATCTAAAATGTGGCCAAGTAAACACAGCTTGGAAAGCTGCTGAATTCTTCAAACCAAAATGCCACTCAGTGTGGATATAGCTGGTAAAATCAGGATCACAGTAAAAGAATCTGTGGTTCTTGAAACTATTTGCTGCTCTTTTTTTTCCTCATTTGCCCTATTTTTCTTGCTTTCAGTGGTAACAGAGCTCAAACCTCACTCTTGGAATTATTTTTTTAAACATTTTTTTTTGCAAACATAATGTGATCCTTTCTGCTTACTTGTTTTTAGTGTAGTAAGTGGATACCAGGACAGGCACCAAACACAGCATGGAAAATGCAAAACCCAAAGTCCTAAAAATAGTCCTTATCCAGCTTTCTGTCAGAAAAGGAAGCAGCTACATTTTAGGATGGAGCTCATGCAGGTTGGTGGCAGCATTTGCAGCTTTCTGAAGAGCAGATTCCAGCTCTGGTGCTTTCAGATAACCCTGTGCTCCACAGGCCCTTGGCTTACCCCCACCCTGTCCTGGAGGCCAGCATGTTTTAACCCGTGTAGGGGGGAAATGGATGAAATTTAAAGCATTTGTGTTGTCCTCTCTGAGGGCTTTCACAAATTTGTTTTACTGTGAGGTCTGGTTCTCTTGCCACCAGATGGCACCTAAGCCCAGGTGATAGGAAATACATCTTTTCAACAAGCCCACAGTGATACTTTATTTCTTTAAATGTGCACACCTAAAATAACTGTTAAATTCTATTTATTACAAATTATTACAGAAGTACAGAAATATGAAAAATGACATTCACCTAAACTTGGTGAATCTGTATTCAAAATACAGATCCTGAGACACATCTCAGTGAAAAACAATGAAAGCAGCAGATTTAAGTGTGTGTTTCATTACAGATGCCCTAAAAGATAAAACCAGATTTTCTGTGCATGGATGCTATTTCTCTATCTTTTTAGGCATAAACAATCATAATGTTAAGGCATATTAGATCAGTAAAATATCCCATGAAGAAGCAATCTCCATCTGCTATGATGTACACTCTGCTATGATGTACATTGGTATGGACTTAAAATGAAAATACATGTGGTTACAAATAGAATTTTTATTTAGTCAGATGACAGACACACTGAATTCTGCTTGAAACTACATCTGTAATGAAACTCTAATGTATAAACATGTAACTAAAACGTTTCTAGAAGGATGCAAAGACACAAATAACACAAGACTGGAATTTAACCTCAAAACAAGTTTTCAAAGTAGTGACCTGCAGATGCCCTGAGGAGCTTGGAGCCAAGGGCAGTGAGTTTTGGTATCACAGTGTTACATCAGTTTTAACAAATGGTCCCATTGCCAGCCTCCATTCTTTGGGAATATTTCCACACTGTGCTCCAGATTTGGTCTGTTTTTTTCAAAGTGATTAATCCAATCCACTCTCATCATCCTTGTCACCTTGTGCTTTATGAGGACATTCTTCCCCCTCAGCCAGGCCCTGTGCTTTTCTATCACTGCCATTCCCTGTTAAAAGCACAAAAGCAAAGGGCAAATGAAACTCACTCATGGTCTTTAATACTGAAAAAAGAAATATAGAGCCCAATTTTTTAAAACCATTTAAATAAAAATCAGTAAAAAATTCTCTGTAGAAAAAGAAAATACTTTCATTCCTAATTTGTTAGTATTCCCACATAAATGAAAGGAAGAGGTGATTGTAACTAACAACCTTCAACAGGAGCTGAACAGATCCTTAGTGTGTCTGTGCCAGCCCTGTTTTCTCTGTGATTAATAATGTCACTGTAATCTTACCATCCTCTTCCCACGAGCTTGGGCCATCTGCTTGATGACAGACTGGTGACAACAGCAGAGGATCCTTGGGCTCAGTGATTACCTCTTGTATCAAGGGTTTCAGAGAGGCTACCTCTTCACCTTTGATCTCCAGGTATCCTCCTGAATTATCAGGCTCTGTAAATAAGCTTTTGAGAAGGGGTCTTAAGTGCTCCTTTTCATGCTCTTTATGGTTCTGATATACATTTGAAAAAATTGCTGTTGGAACTTCTTCTACTGAATTCTCAAGCATGCTTTCATTGTTTTCTTCTAATGCAGAATTGCTGTCATTTGTCACTTCAGAAATTATTTCAATCTTTGGGTGATAGTCCTGCTGCAAAGGCAGAAATGTAATTGAAAATTATTCTTAGATATAAAAGCCAAAGGATGGCTAAATATCTCCTGGATCCATGTAACAGTTGTCAGCTTTAATGTGCTGTTCTCATAAAACATATGAAATATATGCTTAATATGTAAGCTCTGCTGCTTTGTGAATGAATCTTAGATTAGCAATTTCTCAGGTATCACCAATGAACTGACCATAAACTAATTAACAGTTCATAAAAAGAGCAGAGTGTGGGCTCTGTTCTAATATTTTACTCCAAACAGAGGAACCTGACCAACACCTTCATCTGCTTCAGTGAGAACTGAGCAGCCTTTGGAGCAGGACAGCTGCTAACACATCCTCCTTCCCTGAGCCTCTCTCCTTGCCTTCTTTTAATTTGAGTTAGCCAAGACATTTTGCAACCCTGTAATGAGTCTGTGATCAAAAGGGCAAATCAATTCCATGCCTTATGCTGACTGTAGGAACAGTTGGCATTATCTTGGAAATACTTGTAAGAGCATGTACTGTACCAGCCTCTGTCTCCAGCAAGGCCAGTATGATTCTATGATCAGCATGAAAATCAAAACTGTGCTTTTAAACTTTGCTGTCTTCTTTTTTCTCTTCTTTTTTTTTTAAGGCAATTTGCACCACATTAATACTGGTACAGTATAATCTTTAGTACAATACAACATCCTATTAAGAAATTAAACTTATGTAACTGTTGCATTACTGGTCATAAGTTTTTATTTGATTTTTCTAGACAAGAATATAAAAAAGATTTAAACAAAGGAAGATTCACATGTAGATATGAACTGCTGAAACCATCCATTTTAGTTTGTAAATTCCTAAGTGATTGCATCTCCCAAACATGCATTTCACAACCTCATTGTGCAAAACCTTTGTAAATGTGTTTAGGGAAGTTTCATTACTGGAATTAATGAAAATGTTACCTTTTGAACAAAGATTTCATCTTCTGGGGGAAACTCACTTACAACTACATCTTCCAAATCAGGCAGTTCCTGAAAACAATCACAGATCAATAATCAGTGGGAAGAGCTACTGTAACCCACGGAAAATGACATCTCTGGCTCGCTGGACAGCCCCTCCAAAGCAGTGCTCATCAGGGTGTGAGGCCACAGCCAGCAGCACCCCCCTGCCATCCTCTCATGGGCACAGTCTGCTGTTAAGCACATGTGGGAAAGGGAAAATTCATCTCTGTCCAGAAATAGCAAATGGGAAAGCCACAGCCCTAATGTCAGACTGAAGGCTGTTTTCTACTACGCTGTGTGATTATGAAAGAAAACAGGATAAAGAGTAAGGCATTACCAGGATTTTAAAAGCAAACATGGTTTATTCCCTTTGCTGTTTCCTGTCTATTCAATAGACTTAATCCCAATTGCAACCCATCTCTATGGGTAGGTGCCAAATCCAGACCTGCAGTCTTCCTGACACTACATATCAAATAAACTCTGTCAACCTAAATACACCTAATAAACCAATGTTTTACTGTGAATGCTTCGTAATTAAGACACAGAACTGCAAACTTGCTGAGAACTGTTTTTCCTCAGACAGGTCCAATAATTTCAGCTTTTCACTAGAAAATATTATCTCAGACAACTATTATTTGGTGACATGAAAGGAAACAAAGAAGGTGGGAATGCAAAATCACAGGTAGAAACTAATACCTTTTTGCCATTTTTAACTGTAGGTCAATACTGGGATAAGCATTTACTTTTGTTTTTAGATATTTTTAGCACTTAATGTAGCAGGCTGCTTATCATGGTAGCATCAGGAACATCTGTACTGTCTTGCATGGTGAAGATTATTACACAATTCAAATCAAGAAAGGAAATTTCTCCTTCCTGATATGGTTGCAGCTAGTGCAGCATGTCCTCAAGTCACAGAGGTTTATAAAAATTGCATTAAAAATGTACTAATTAAGATCTGAGACTAACGTGGAGTTTGATGTCAATAGGGAGATGAAATAGCTCTTAGTCTTGTTTTAGTCAGCAGGTGCATTTGCAGATCAACTACAAGTTAACCCAGTCTAGGTATGTGGGAATGTGATTCCCACACTGCCAAGGCACGTGCAGCAACAGGAGCTTGTTTGTGCTTGACACAGGGATGTCATAACCACCCAGTGCAAATCCTCCTCCACTCTTCTCCCTTATATTCCCCTGAGACCATCTAGAGACTCAGGATATGAATAAGGACTGTGGTGCTGCTCCAGAGCCTCTCACCATTGGCATCTTCCCAGCCATTCCCTGCAATGTCAGCACTGCGGTTCTTTGGAATATCTGCAGTGGGGTAAGTACTGGAGGCTGTTGGGAGAGGCTCTTTCTATTCCTAAATGTTGCTGGAGAACAAATAGCATAGAACACTGAAATGTGCATTAGTGTGTGATTTGGGTTTGGTTTTCCTTCTGTAGAATTAAAATAGTACCACTTTTTACATCTCTAAAACCCCACAGATGTCTGCTTAAGAGTTACTTTTATACTGGCTTGAAGCTTGTGCACAGGATCTTCCTATGGTGCCATAGAGAATCAAGGAAAAACAAACACTGAATCAAGGAGATCTTCACATTGTGGATACCTACAGTGTCACTACATATTTACTTCAGACACTGTAAGATCTATTTTTAATAATAATATTGTGCATAATTTAATGGCTGCCCATTCTCTCCACTACCTTTTTTAAAGCTGTCATTAAAAACTGCTAAACAGGAGGAGGCAGCAGCAAACCCTCTAGTGAAGCAGTGGGCTGAGCCCTTCAATAACATGGAATTTTTGCCTGGGAAGTTCAGAGCATGGCAGAGACATGAGGCTTTTCTGCCAGTAGTTAACAATGGCAGTACAGGGTATCACAGAGTGTATTAAGTGCTCTGGGAAGTCAGAAGCTCAGCAGCTTTTATTACTGATTATATCATAGTCTGACACTGTCAGTTTATCAGCAGTGTCCTAATTAGGACATGTTGAACAATTCTCCTTTGAAGTGAGGTTGTGTTTTTCAGTGGTATCTATGTCCTCCTCACGGTTCAATGTGGTAAACATATTTAAATGTTGCATCAGATAGACATTTTAGATAATAGAAGACCATACTGCAAAGGTAAATCACTTATTATATGTCTGAATAATGTACATTCTTCTCTTCCTGGAAACAAACATCAGAGTTCTATTTTGAGAATTAATTTATAGTATCTAACACTGCTGGGTAACATTTACAGTGATGGGGGTTTCTTCCCTATGGTTCTTCTGCAATAGTTCACATTTTCAACTGCATACTTCATTTGAGTTTTGATTAAGAGGACAAATGTGTCTACTAGATTCTTTTCACTGTAATTTCTGTTTTTAAATGAGAGCCCCCATTAGCTTCTCCAGAGAAATGACAAAGATAGAAGGTCAATTTTAGGTGATTTACAGGATAAAAGGATTTATAGGATAAAAAATTTAAGGACAAAATAAACTTTGGAAGCATTCTTCATAAATGCTCCACTGGAGAGAATACCCCTGCAGCTTTACTTTTTGGGTTTTTCTTTCTCTCTTTCTTTCTTTTTATTTTTTCTAAGAGTAGAGCTTTCTTAAAAACCTGCCCATACAGTTTTATTAGCCAGAATGTTACAAGAATTAACTTGGAGAAGACAATACACATGTGAACTTCTCAAAGTCTGAATCTAATACATACATCAAGATAAAGTGCTGCCAGAGTCTCCAGTTTGAACTGTTCAATTTCAGCATATTCCTCCTCCCTCTCAGGAAGCTCAGCCTGGTCAGTAGTTGCCTCCTGTCCTGGTAGATCTGCAGAATAATCAATAGTCAGTTGCAGAGAACTAACTGAAGAAAAAATGTCTACATTGCAAGCACTGCAGAACCAGACTGCTGGGGACTGGCTACCACTGCAGAATTCACAGCTCAATCCAAAGCTTTGTTTTTCTATTATATTCTGGGTCTCTCTTCTTTGTATAAATTAATATTTGCATTTGCAATAATGTGTTCCACAAATCTATAAAAGCATTTCTCCACGTATGAAGGTACAGAACCATCTCTAGGGTGATGACCAGCTTCTGTTGGCAGACAGACTGCTCAGTTTATGTGGGAGCAAGGGAAGTCTGTAAACTCTCCTGGCCTTTCACTAAACCTGGCATGTTTGAGAAGTGGAGTTCCACCTTTAAGTTGCAGAAGTTGTAGGCTAAGCCTTCAGAAATTGACTATTTATTGTATTTAAAGAATATTTTACCCAGTATTGCTTGATTTCACCTAGTCACTGTGGAAATCTAATGGAATGTTTTTATGTATGAATTAGTTGTCTTGAGCCACAGTAGAGGCAGTGCTCCACTGGCAGGTTGACTCATCATCTCTGCATGCTCAGTGTGGTTTGGCTCTTCACTGTGTACATTACCATCTGCCTCCTGGTTGAAATTTGCACATTTGTGAGAGTCTGGATCCTGTGCATCCTCTTGAACTTCATCAGGCATATTTCCAGATGTGAAATCTCTGCTATCTTCTCTATTTGGTGGAAGTGTTACCACTTCATCACAAGCATCAAACCCCTCATTTTTAAATTCCTCAGTCTTTTCTTGAGCTTCTTCTTCTGATCTATTTGAAGTTTCTGATGTATTAGAATTTCCATCACCATCTTTTGAATTTGCAGGTGCTCCTACAGAAGAAATAATTTCATAAAAATTGCTGAGCTAATCTATCACTGCTCATTTTAAATTTCCAAACACTGCTACAATGGGCTAGAATCTGCATCAAAAGCTCCTACTTTGAGCAGCTATCCATGGATGAGTAGTCCTTCCAACACTGCAGCAATGCTGTTTTCCCATCTCAACACCCCGGCAAACAGAAGTTCCCCAGAAAAAAAAAAAATCATCTAGAGAAAATGCTTAAATAATAAATGTTTGGTATTTCTAATACTTTGAAAAGGCTCACAAGTGACTACATATTGAAATACATCCTGAGGATTTTGATGGATCAGCAACAAGTGCTGGTTACCCTCTCCTTTGTGCAATCCACTTACTTGATAAAAAGTTTTTAGTTGTTAGCCAATCCAAAGATGTATGAGGTAAAGACTCTTCTGCACATTCAAACTGAAGAGGTCACAGACATCTTCCAAAACAGTAAGCACAAACCTTCTTGGGTATCTGTTGCAACTCCTTCCATGCTCTTTTGTCTCCTCTTTTCCTGTGCTCTTTGCCTAATTGCTGCTAAAGCATCAATGCTATCTTGGATTTTTTTTCTCTCTCTGGTTTCCCATTTTTCCCTTTCTGCTTTCTCAGCTTCAAGCCCTCCAACAGCCCAGGCTTCTGCACAGGCTCTAATGAAAACACAAAAGCTCACTGTAACACAGCTATAAAAGCCCACCTTTGCAATGAGAGAGAAGTTTAAAAGAGTTTGCAACAGCACAAAATAGCTGCAAGAGAAAAAAGCAGATAGCAGTGACAATCCCTTATGCAACAGGGATGTAAATTTATCTCACAAAAGAAGCAGAGATATTCAAATTACATCACCAGAGATTGGTCTGGTCTTGGCTCAGCTGTTCCAGACACCTGCTCAGTTTCTGTTGAAGTCAGGATCTGCCTCTGCTCTACAGACATGGTGTGAGACAATTCCGTTCAAGAATTATTTTGTGAAAAAAGCACACTGCTTTTTTCTAGGTATGTTAGATGTAGAACTCTGTAGTACAATACTCTTCTCCTCAAAATCATCCACCTTCAATAAATTATACTGGTCAGTCTTCCTTCCCTTACAGTACTGACAAAAAATGGGTGAGTGATTGTTAGCACTTGATTCTTACAGCTGTCAAGAGGGCTGTGTTTCTTACCTATCCTTTGGGAACACTGGTCTGTCATCCAGGTATGTCAGCTGTTTTAGTCGAACAGTGAGTGTTTTTCTATAGTTAGCAATTTTCCTTATCACCTCATTTCCCATCAAATTCAGCACATGCTAGAGAAACAAGGGAAACAATTTTTAAGCTTGAGTAGCAAAAACCCCAGCCTGGATACGTACTTCCTCTGTCACTTCAAAAGCAAGAAATTAATAAAACATCCAAGGTGTTACAGGTGATCTACCAGAAACAAAATAATGTTTAATAATGTTTCTTTTAGACTGATACCTACTGTGCACTGAACTACCCAACAAAGCCACTCGATGGGGTTCACCCCCACACAAACACAAACCCTCAGCTCTTTTTGGCTTACCAGATTGGGCATGGTCTCCAGAATAGCTACAATACTTGGATCACTTAGATTGTTGTGGGAAAGATCAAGAACAGAAATACTTGGGCATTCCTGCAAGTGCTGGATGTCTTCCACTGTCTGTAACTTATTGTGAGCGATCTGCAGAGTCTGCAGGACTTTCAGACAAGCTGCCAGACAAGAACAGCACAATGAAAGGAAAGGTAAGAGTTGTCACTTCACAAAGGGTTTTATGAGCAAGTAAAAAGCTGCATTGTCAAACTAATAGTTTATATTGAATTTGGAGCTTTTTTCTAAATTTTTTATTCTGCTATTTATAATTTTTGGCTAGGCCTCCAAAGCTGCTTTCTTCACGCCAGGGAAAATAGGTGCTTGGTTTTAGGATGGTAGTTTTTTTTAAATTCACATTTCAAACGAATCAGTTACACAAAAGCAAGAGTTTGTGTTTCAAAATTCTCAAATCTATGCAAGTAGTATTGTACAGAAATAGTTTTTTATTTTCTGCTGAAGACAGAATCAATCTTTTACCAGATATAAAAGATTTGGTAATTGTGTCTGCAACTGCCAAAGCACATCTTAACTGTAAAGTAAATGGTGAAAACTGGATTGTCAGCCTGTCTGCAACACAGGTAAGTTCTGAGATGGTATTAAGCAGTGAGGAAAAACTACTTAATTATCCTAGGTATCCATGTGAAAGTAGTTTTTCTGTAGTAGTAGTATTGTCTGTTTCTCAACATAGGTTTTACTCCTCCACAGAAGCCCTGTGGGCTTTGGTATGGATGTTGTGCAAAATTCTAACAGAAATAAAAAAAACCCTTTGAAACTAGTGCCACCAACAAAAGCTTAGTCAGAGCTTAGGAAATATGGGCTTGCCAGAGGCTAAAACCTGTTGCAACAACAGTTCTTACAGAGATTCTCAATGGTTCTAATGTAGTTGTTACTGATATTGAGGGAATCCAGCTTTTGTAAGGGTTCAAGGTTTTCAATTTTCTCAATTAAATTGAGTTGCAGGTAGAGGCAACGCAACTCTGTCTGAGCCTCCAAGTTCTCAATTTTTCTTAAGCCATTGCACTGCAGCCACAAACACTTCAGTCCTGTATATTCTTCAAGATTCTCCAGTCGATCAAATCCTGCAGAGAAAAAAAAAAGATGTTTCAAAATGAAATGGCACTGGCTGAAAATGGCTCTTTGGATGAGAAAATTCCATGAAACCAGAGCTGCTGAAACAGCTGAGAGAACACTGGTACTGAAGTCCCTGCAGTATTTCCACTGAATTAATTCCTGGTACTGTTTGTGGCCCATTAAGGGCAAAAACAGGTTGGCACCTATTCTGGTCTGTATCTCAGCAGCCCTTTAGATACTAAATAATACATAGCAAAACCAAGGCTGAATGTAGAAGGTAGCATATCCTATTTATTTGGAAGAATTCTTAGGCTAACTTGTACCAGGTAACTGCATCATGCAAAAACCCGCTCAGAGATCACCAGAGGATGAGTAATGTTCATTCTAACAAATTTTGTTTCTTTCAGTAGTGTTTGCAAACATACAGCAAGTATTTACTGTTTATTTTCCTCTTGACCATTTTTACTTGGCAGTAAAAAAGTTCCAAAAGCTGGAAATACAAACAATTTAAGGAAAAATTCCTTAATTTTCCTCTGAGTGCAACCCAGGCCAGTATGATAACTTACATTTCTCAGGGGCTCCTGTTTCAGTAAAAGAAACCAAAAATGTGTCCCTTGATTCCTATTGATCCTTTGGGTGGCTCCACAAAGCGAGTTAGATGTACAGTTTACTTTTGTACCTTCATATTCACTCATTTTGTTTCCCAAATCCAGTATTACACAAAATTGTGCTCTAATTTAGAAGAATGACTAGAAACCTTACTTCAGTGAGCCATGAAGTAGATTCTCTGCTAAAATTCTACTTAGAATGATCAAGTTAGGCAGTCATGTCCACATCTTACCTTTATAATGCAAGTACAGTGTATCATTTAAGTACGGGGTCCAGTATAATTTCTGCTGTTTACAGATGTCTAACAGAATCTTTTTTGTCATTCTAAAATAGTACAGAAAGCAGAAGGGAAATAAAAAATGTATTTCAGTGCATATTCTGAGATCTTTGGTTTCCTTACAGATTCCACTGCAACATAATTAACAATTCTTTTATGCAAGAGAAATAGCTACAGCTTTCAAAATTATATTCCAAATTTTTAAAAGTGCTGTGTTTTTTTAGTGTGGCTTTTAATTTCTACCTTTGAAGTGAGTTACAAGGCCCTTCTGCTAAAAAAAAAAAAAAAAAAAAAAAAAAAAGAGGGTTTATAGGAAAATGGGCAGGGAATTAAAGAGTCCATCTTCTTGGAAAAGGGCAGCATGATTTTACATAAGCTTCTGGTTCCAATGTTAGCTTCCTCTCCAGTTCTTTCCCCTGTTCCTCGCTGCTTTGTACAGGACCTTTGGTGGCAGAGCCAAAATGCAGTATTTTTCTCAGACTAGAAAAATCAACGGTGATCAACCCAACATTTTATCAGAATGCCAACTCCAAAATAGCACTCAGGAAAGTTTTGATACACAGCTGTTGGTTGGCTGGGAATGCCACTAGGAATGGACAGAATGCTTTGTCTGAACTGATGCAGAGAAATGGTTAAATGTACTGGCACATGACTTCCACAGCCGTTTGCACAATTTTCTCCAGATCCATTAAATGACTTCATCATGTGGTTAGAATGTAGTTTGCTACAGTGGCCATAAAACCCAAACATCTGTCCAGAGGCTGGAAGTATCACTAATACCTGATTTATCCATTATTCTCAAGTTCATCTTCAAAACTGTTCTCCAGAACTGAGATGAACACACAGAATAACAAAACTCCTGAAGATGCCAACACATCCACAAACAATGTATTACCTTACAGAGCCTCTCTTTTCTTCTATACTTTGGCTGGATGAGCGGGTTCCAGACTTCTGATCAATATCTGATTTTTGTTCATTCTCTTGATCTGCTCTGGACACACAGTTGACTTCTTTCTCTTGAGTTTTATCAGCTTTTAAAATAAGAAAATGAATTGCAATTTAACAGCAAGGGTGGGGAAATTGTGTCATAGAAATATTGAAGAGCACTTGAATATGAATTTCAAGAGGAGAGTGTTTTAACCAAGATTTCTGCTGAGATTTTTAATGAAACTTTTTAAATAGCATCATAAAATAAATAGTAGCAATTGAAATCTGCATATTTTATTTTTTAAAATATCTGAAAGTCAGATAGTATCCATTATTCTTAATATTCTTATAATGTACAGTCACAATTAAGTACTGACACCAATGTTCTGATGGTGTTAGACATTTAATACATATTACATTTAACTAACACCAGCTTGAGTTTACTGTAAAGAGACTTCAGCAATGGTGTATCAGTCATCCCAAGCAACATTAGTCTAGCTCTTTTACAAATTTATCCTTTTGTGCTCCTTGGAAGGTGTCTTTACATTGCCTTTGAATAATTCCAATTTCAGTATTTGTCTCTTCAGATACGTGCCCTGAACCTTTTACTTGCACTTGTAGTTCATACATTTAAAGTGCAAACAAGATGACTGTACTAGCTTACTTAAATATGACTGTAATTAAAACACAATAATCGGACATAATTAGTATCACAAGAGGCAATGGGCTGAAACTGATGCACAGGAAGTTCCACCTGAACACAGGGAAGAACTCTACTGTGCGGGTGAGCATGCACTGGAGCTGTTTGCCCGGACAGGGCGTGGGGTGTCCCCACGGGAGATGTTCCAGAGCCACCCGGACACAGTCCTGTGCCTGTGCTCTGGGATGGCCCTGCTGGGCAGGGAGCTCGGACCAGGGACCCGCTGTGGTCCCTGACCCATCCTGGCACTTGTGATTTAGAGGTCAGGTTGGCTGTGTGATAGCAACACTGCAAGAAATACTTCTCCGGCAACAGTAAAGAAATGTCGGGAAAATTAAAAAGACCACAAGAAGACAGCAACTGAGTACGCCTCAGTTGTGTCAGGATTTCCAGTGACTTCGCTGGCAGAAAGCACACACTCGTATTTGCATCCAGGTGAGTACGAACAGCCGTGATGCGATGTGCAGGCCTTGTGCGCTGGCGAGCGAGCCGGGGGGCTCACCTGTGCTCCCAGCGCTGCCCTCACGCTCCGTGCGGGCACCTCCGCTCCCGCCGTCGCCCAACGGCGCCTCCGACGCCTCAGGCGCCGGGATCTCCCCTCTGCGGCCGCTGTCCGGGTCTCCAGCGGGTGCCGCCTGCATTCTAACACCCCCGAGCCGGTGTGGCATTTACGCTCTGCCTTTTTCAGACAAAATGTCCGCAGGCTCTAAGCGGCGGCAGGCGAGGGACCGAGCGCAGCCCCAGCCCCGGCAGCCGCCTCAGCCGTGGCCATGGCGACGCCGCGCGCAGCCCCACAAGGCTCCGCGGCCGCTCCCCGAGGCGCCGGGCCAGCTCGCTGGGGCTGCGCGGGGGCGGCGCGCCCGGAGCCCGCTGTCCCGCCCTGGGCGAGGGGCGGGCGGGGTGTGGCGGCGCCGGGCGGCACAGCGGGTCCTGGCGGGGAGAGGGCGGATTTGTGCTTGTTTAAAAACCGTATTAACTAGTAAAAGTTGTGTGAGGCACAGGTAGCGCGGTGTGCGTGATGCGCTGCACCGTGCCGTGGTTCAAGGACAGTGGCAGATGCGCTGGGGACTGACGCTGTCTCTGAGCCTGCTTTGTCTCTCTTGAAGGTTTTTGTCCTTGAAAGAGCTCGTTGTTTCTTTGTGTCTCAGCTCTCGCGTGTTGGTTATCCTTGCCTCTCTTGTAGGTAGTTTTTCATCTTCCAGCCTTGGTTTTCACCTGTTCAGCTTCTGCTTTAATTGTTTTATTTACAGAATCGTTGATCATTGTTGTTGCAGTATAACTGATTAATAGTTCAACCCTAGGAAAAGTGCTAAACAGTACCTAAACCAGTGAGGTTGATGGTAGGTGACACCCAAATTTTAGCACACTGGTTTTTCTGCATCGAAACAGTGCTCAAACTATAAAATGCTGCATCTCAAAGGTTATCCATACAGTCTGAAAAGTTTACATGGCTCAGGAGGCAATTGTTGTCTTTTTTTTTTTTTTTTTTTTTTTTTTTCAGGCTTGTGATAACCATGGCTGCCGTGGATCGATTCTCCCTCTTGTACAGAGAAATCAGTCACTCCTGCAGTTTCTATATGGAAGCCCTGGCTGTTGTTGGAGCTTGGTACACAGTCAGAAAGGTTGTGTCTCTGGCCTTGGACACTTACAGCGCGCTCAGGCTGCATGTGATTCCAAAGCTGAGTGGGGAGGCTGATCTCGTCAAGAAGTACGGCACGTGGGCCGTGGTCACGGGTAAGAGATGAAGTGGTCAATTTCCTTGTGTTTATGTGACAATGTGACATACTGTGCCAGTACTGTGAAACTTGGTGACTTGTGGTGCTGGGTGAGCTTTATGTCACAGGCTGGAGCCTGTATTATCTGTGGTTGCAGGTTAATCTGCCTGAGCAGTGGCTGTTGTTCAGTGCCGTTATAAATTAATTCCTCAGGAGATGGGCAAGCTAAGTGAGTTCACTGGCTGCTGAGAAACAATTAGAGCAATTGTCGCCCAAATTTGCAAGGCGCATCTTGATCACCTGCAAGTGTAGACAGAGATGTAGACAAGATCCTCTTTTTGCTATGGGGTGTTCATATGTGCCCTAGTTCTTCAGCAGGGTTTGAGTCCTGAACCTCTGACATTCCTGTCTTTCATTAAGGTTCTCCTTTGAGCTCTCTTTTGTCATAGAAAATATAAAACTTTTATGAGGGGAATTGCAGAAGGTGGTTGACAGCGTTGTCTTTACTGTTGTGTCTTTGAATTCAATATCTTTAGTGCCACATGATCTCAGAAAAAGGACTAAAGCTATAATTGAAAGAACTGTCAAAATAGAAGGCTGGCTCTGTTTTTCAGTTTTGTGTTCTATTGCTGTTTTCTCTTGCAGGTAGCACAGATGGTATTGGGAAGGCTTATGCTGAAGAACTGGCAAAGCATGGCGTCAACATCATCTTAGTCAGCCGGAACAAAGAGAAGCTGGAGGCTGTATCCAGGAGCATATCTGAAACCTATAAAGTGGAAACAGATTTCATAGTAGCTGATTTCAGCAAGGGGCGTGAGCTCTACCCAGGCATTAAGGAGGCTCTGAAAGACAGAGAAATTGGGATTTTGGTGAATAATGTAGGAATATTTTATGCCTACACAGACTATTTTACTAATCTCTCTGAGGATATTCTATGGGACTTGATCCATGTAAATATTGCTTCTGCTACCATGATGACACATATTGTGCTGCCAGGCATGGTAAAGAAGAAGAAAGGGGCAGTTGTGAACATTTCTTCAGCAGTCTGTTGTCAGCCAACACCGATGTCGACAGTCTATGGAGCCTCTAAAGTAAGTTGGGCTGTAGTGTTAAATGACATGCGCTGGAAACACATTCAGCAAGGATGTCAAAATACTTGAATGTTTTCTAGGGATTTAATTAAATTTTGGAGTGAATGATACACATATTATGCAGTAAACTCTTCATCCTCACCAGTGCTGAGCTTTGAACCAAAGTCAGTGCTCTTGGATTTTGTGCGAAGTGTGGCATAACAGTCATTCTAGGAGAAACGTTGCCTTTCTCAGATGCACAAAGAGGCAATTTTGTGGGCCTCATTGAAAGGGTCAAGAATTTAATCTCTCTCCAGCTGAACTGTGCACATACCTCAAGTCTCTTGCATGCCAGTATTTGGTAGCAAAAAGGGCTATAATCATGCTCAAGCCACCACTGTGACACGGAGCGTGGCCAAATCAAGCTGCTGCTTCATGTACTACCAAGGAGTGTTGTGGCATATTTGGGGACAAGTAAGAAGAACTCCCCCATAATTGTCCTTCCTGAAGAGATCCAAGCAATAAGGAATAGGACAGGGCAGCTGGCTGGTGCTGGAGGAATGAATGCTCACGGTGATGGTGGATTGACATGGCACGATGTGCTGCTGAATGCACAAAAGCAGCTGGGATTGTGGAGGCTCTCACCTAGATCCAGTGTCTAAACACAAGTGGTTATTGCTCCCAGCTGTCTGTGGCTGCCCTGTGTTGTAGCCTTGCTCCTGACATTGCTCTTTTATTTCCTTTGGCCTGGAGCAAAAGCAGCTTTTACTACCCCAAGGTGTAGAACTCCTCGCAGACTTCCTTCAGTGTGGAAGCTGGCTTACAATTACAGTTTCTGTGCAGAGTATCTGCCCCTTTGATTTTGCTAAGTGTATGTAGAACTGCAGTCTGAATTAAAACGATTAAAAGGCTTGAATGAGAAAGAAGAATCACAAATGTACAAAGTTTCTTGTTTTAGCTGAGATAATTAATCCAAATGCTAGGTCAGCAATCCAGTTTTAAGCCTGGCCTCAGAACACAGAAGTGAGAACAAGCTGCTGTAACATCCTAAGCCTCTTTGTGTACTAACAATGAATAATGCTTGAAGTGGTTGCTTTAATTTTCCTAAAGCAGCTGTAAGAGAATTTGTGCAAGATGCTTTCCCAACAAACTCTTGGGAAAACCTTTTGCAAGGCTGGTTGGAAGCAGCAAGATATCTGCTGACAAGCTGAGTCTAAAATGCTCTTTCTCAGGGAGACCTGGCTGTGTGGCACAGCAGGGAAGGCATCAGTGTTGCTGCCCTGATAAGACTGAGCCAGGCTCATTTTTCAGTCTGATTCCAGCAGTCCCAGTTATCAGCCTGGTGCTTTTCTTGTTCTGTAAAAGTAAAATGAGCTAAAGGAGGTAATGCAGATACACATTAACGAATCTTTTTGCCTAAGAGAGTCCCAGGAAATAAATAACGTGGCTCCTGGAGGAGACAGTTGAATGCAAAATTCACCTGTAAATATATTAAAGAATGGGACTTTATTTTTTTCTTCTGACAGTAGTAGGTAGAGCTGTCTGCAGAGTGTCCTTGCAATACCCCCAGACCAGATAAGGTGCTTGTTTTAGATGAAATAAATGGTTTTGTATTATTTTTAAGCAGAAATTGTCAGATTGTGATAAGCAGTCACTTTGTCCTGCAAGTTAGTGTACTGTGGCAGGTTTATAGCAAATAACACAGAGAAGTGTTGATAATACTTCAGAAAATAATATTTTATATTATTTATTAATATTTATTGGTGCATAAAACTTAAAAACTTTTCTGTAATTTTAATAAAACTTTGCCCTGAGATTTCATTGTTAAAAAAAAAAAAGAAAAAAAATTGTCTTTCTGCTTTTGTTTTTCTAGAGCTACTTGGACTATTTCAGTAGAGCACTACATTATGAGTATGCCTCTAAAGGAATTTTTGTTCAGAGTCTAACACCATTTGTAACTACTACAAAAATGTTAGCATTCAGCAGCACTATATCAAAGAGATCTATCTTTTTTCCTACTGCTGAAGAATATGCAAGTCATGCTGTTTCTACTCTTGGGTTATCCATAAGGACCACTGGTTGCTGGAAGCATGCAATACAGGTAATGGAATTCATTAAACTATTTCATGTTTGTCAGTAGAAGTAAATCAGCTGTTTGCTTTCTTAGGAGTCTGAATGAAAACTGCTCATTCTGAAAAAGTGTAATATATGTTGTAGACTTTAAGGCATTGTGCCATATTTTCTCACAAGTTCTGCTTTATAAACTTATGCTTGGGCATGCTTATTTTTAAGATCAGAGAGAGAATCCAATTCTCCCTTGAAGTGCGCAGCAGAAATGGGAGAGAGACAACTTTTAACTGAAAAGCAGAGTATCTCATTTCCCTTGGGGTGTTGCTGACTGGGCAAGGGTTTCACTGTCTTCTGTAAACAGAAATAGCTTTTTCAGTCTTAATACCTTGAGCATATTTGTGCTTTGGGAAAGAGTGGGTAGGGAGGATGGAATAATAGCAGGAAAAAACCTGTATTTTCCTGCATTTGTTAGGGTTTTGATTTTTGAGGCAGACTGTTTTATGCACATTGGTCACATCTCATGTATCCTACCTAGTGGCTTCCTGTAGCATTGGGTTGACTAGATGGGAATGAAGAAGTGGGGATTAGTCCAAAAGGAATAAAAGAGACAGGATGCATTCTAGCAAAATGTGGCAATTAATGGAAGTGGGCAGAATTGCTGTTGTGAACTTGATCAAATCAGGATTCAGTATTTATTTGCAGAACTTAACTGCTCAGCTGTGGGCACTACATCCAAAGCAGCTGAATGTGTGTGCTTCAGGGGGTTGAATTTAAGGCTGAGCTGATGATATTCAAGCACTTTTTGCCTTGCTTTAGTAGTGATTTGAGAAACTGTTTACTTCAATGAAATGTATCTTAATCTGTCCCTTTCTGTCAT